TATCTTAAAGCAATAAGATGCTTGACTATTTTTTTTCAGTTTTATACAAACAATTGAAAAATGTATAAATAACAAAATAGGATTATTTAATAATAAAAATATCAAGTTAACACTCCCATGCTGTGTACGCTGTTGTACGGACCATCACATACACATAAAATGCTTTGGGTAACTTAACCAAGCCATAGTAACAAAGGCAGCTATGATATAACCCTTCCGGTGGGCGTTTGTCGAAATTTTTTCATATTAAGTTCATCTTTCTTTTTCAATGTAGTCATTTCTAAGCTTGTTTGTTGGTTTCGAATTGTGGTCATCAAGGGCAAATATTCAACAAAGACTTGTTTCAAGCAAGGGCGGTATTGATAGTAGATAAGCAAGGCTAGAATTCACTGAAGGCTGATGTGATGTGTTAATGTTCATAATGTGTGAAGAGACATGCAATCTGACTAAATGACAGATGATACATAAAACACGACTTATTTTAAAACTTCACAGCCATGAAAAACAGAGTAATATCTGGGTATACAGTGAAACTCATCCACAAAGAAACCTACATGGGCGAAAATACCCCAAGTGTGAAAAGATTTTCATGCATGAAAGCCATTCCCACTTTTCTGTTCCCCATACGACGAAAAGTCCCCCTGTTCCGTTATACGAAATCATTTTCTCTGCTCTAGCCTCGCAATGAGATTCACTACAAGGAAAACAAGCCTTCCGCAAAAGTCTAATCCAACCTCATTATGCCACAGCGACCTCTACTGCTTCGTTCGGAAACGGCAACCACAACCACCACACTGGTTTACTCATGCGCAGTAGTCCAAGAAGTATTTGTTATTAGTTTCAGACGCATTGCGAACATTGCATTGCTAAAATGGCTATGAAACGGACCTTTGCAGACCAAGGAGTTAAGAAAAGAAAAGCATTCACGCTTGAAGACAGGATAAAAGTAATAAAAATGAAAGATGGAGGAAGCAGATAAAAGACATTATGCAAGAAATTGATGTAAGTGAAAGTGAATGCTGATCGTAAATTTCTTTCCTGTTTTTTTTTCTTTCTACACTGGCTATATGAAGTGTCAAATAAGTGTATGCTCATATTTATGCACTACGTATTGGAATAAAAAT